TTTTTCCGCTTGGGAAGCGCAAGTGTGCGCGAGTTTTTCTACGGCGCTTTTCTTTCGTCGGTGAGTTGGTTTTTCTTCTATTTTTAAGTTACTAAGGTGAATGGTGAGGAAACCTTCGTCTTAACTAAACATAAGCCCCAAACAAAATATAATGAAAGCAAAATAAAAGTAAAATAAAAATAAAGCTCAGACTTGGTTCCTTACAGCGGCTTTTAAATAATGCATAAACCTTCGAGGCGCGAGGCCCTCCGGACCGCAAGGCGTAGATGGTGGCCCACGTTGCCCATGCCTTATGCCGCCTTTGGTTATAGAAATGATGTAATTTGAGTATAAATTATTTATAAATACGTATGTCAAGTTATATTTTTATTACGACGTAAAATATATTTAAAAGTTTACCACCACTGGGTGAGACGTTGTTGAAACAAAAAAAAAGTTATGCATTCCATCATGTACATAAATAGTGTCGTAATTCGCCAAGTGCAAATCAGCAAATTCGTAAAATTTTTGTTTATTTTGAACAATCCGGATAATCGAAAATCCGGATAATAGAGGTCCGGATAATCGGGGTTCTACTGTATTTCTAATCCAGAGGTTGTGGTTGTCATTCGGCTTATTTACATTTAAAAAAATTTAAAAAGGCCCCTTACTGCTCAGAGAGCACAGAGGCCAAATCTTATTTACATTTGTGGTTATGGTCGAATAATCATTACCTCTTGTTTGGCATTATCTGTCTGTACAATTTCATGTTCGTCTGGATGAAATTTTTTTTTGGTATTAAATTATCACATTGCATTTCTTCTTATGTTGTTAAAAGACCTCCTATTTGTTAGTAATTCCTAGTGTGTCTGCAGAATCTGAGCTTTTTTTTAACAATAAGATTGTCTGTTCTACTCCTGTACTTGTTGAGGTTAAATGATGAGAAAATTTAATTGTCCTCCTAGTTTTTTCTTTCTTTGTATGTTCGGTATGCTTTCTGGTGATGATTCACTACCTGACAAGTTTTGTCACTCAGTAGTAGTTGTTTTTCAAGTTTTTCATATACTCTTAGAGTTTGTTCTTTTCAACAGTAGTGTCTGCTAAAATATGCTCTTTACAGCATAGATATTGTTGGAAAGAGCGTATTTTACCTTCATATGATAACTTATTGTTTTCGAGCCATTTGACTGAATTATTGGACCATGTGCTACTTGTAGCCACAACCGACGTGAATTTTTTCTAGACATGTTTTGGTTGAGTGGCCAAATTTGTGACATTTTTTGCACTTTCTAGCTGCACAATTCCTTCTGATATGTCCAACATTCTTATATGAATAACAGATTCGTGGTCTGCTTGTGATCACAACTGATCCAGTCATGCCTTTAACCGTTATAAAATAAAGCTAGTTTTTAGTACAAATTTTTTGTTTAACTTCTAGCCAAATTCTAGACTTATTTGTCAGAACATGTTCATCCAGGAACAGTTGCTTTCACAAATTCAGTCTTTAAAATTCTACAATAATGTATACAGTGTCTATTAAGCAAGACTGTCCATCAAGCAAGATGTGGGTTCCTGTCCGTGGTGAGGGGATCTCCCAGAGATGGTTCACTAATCTTTCTTTACCATCCCTGGGATCTGCATGCCCACCCACATGTTTGCTGTATGTGGTGCCCTGTATGCCGGAAAGGGGGATCCTGGTAGTTGAGGGGCAACATAACGTACTCAACATACTGCTTTGGCCACTGCTTTGGATAAACGGGAGGCTCAAATCAGGCTTTGTTTGAATCAATCTGTTGGTCGCTGAGACATTCTTGATTTCGGCTCGAGTCAACTGATCGATGCAGACTGGGCGGACACATCAGACAAGATGTGCTTTTCTTGACTGCATTGTGAGGGTATAGCTTCTGGGAAACCCTGGTGTGACAGTCTATGGGGAAACTCCCATGTAATGGCATCCCCTTGTTGGGCCCAATGGTGGGTAGAGTCACTAGGAGCTGAATAGTTATTTTTAAATATGGAAATCCATATTTAAAAATAACTCTTTTTTCTATTTAGAAATTTATCCATATTTTATTATCTATTTATCCATATTTAGAAATAACTATTTATCAAAGCAAAAAGAAATATGTATCAATGCATTGCCATTAAAGAAGGTCAATTCCTCCAATCAACCATCTTACCTCATCATTTATGCTACGGGAGAAACGCCTGTTTCTAAATGTTCCCCTTTTTTGATTCAGAAACTCTGAATTGACCATTGGGCACCTTAAAAAATTCCAAAAATTGAGGTCAGGAGATCTGCTCATAGAAGCAGCCTCCCCTCAACAGTCAGAAAAGTTAAAATGAAGTCTCTAGGAGACATACCAGTCACCATCACACCACACACAAGTTTGAACTCATCACGGGGTGTGATATCTGAAATCGATCTCATGTCTGTGGATGAATCAAATATTTAGATTGGCCTTTCAGATCAAGGAGTTACTGCTGTTTGACGCATCTCCATTTGTCGAGATGGCAAGATAATTCCTACAAAACATTTAATTGTGACATTTAATAAACCGATATTACCATCTTTTCTTACAGCAGGACATTTGCGCTGTCTGGTTCACCCATATATTCCAAATCTGCTGCGCTGCTTCAAATGCCAGTGGTTTGGACATTCCCAAACATCCTGTTGAGGCAAAAGCTTATGTGCACAGTGTGGAATTGAAGGCCACCAGAGTACTGAGTGTACCAGTACTCCATGCTGTGTAAACTGTGAAGATGTCCATCCTGCCTACTTCTGGAAATGCCCTGCATGGCAGAGAAAGAGATTCAGTGGGTGAAAATAGTCAAGAATTTAGCTTACCCAGAGGCTCGGCACATGATCACTTTAAGTGCACCACTTAAGCAGAAGACATTTGCTGCAGTTTTAAAATCTACAAAGACATGTGGAGTTCAAACAGATATTTCTGTTTCTCCAAAAGAATCTCTCGCTCGCCTTGCAAAATGTTTATTGATCCCATCTACACAATTAGAAGAAAAGGAGAACACAAAACCAAAACTTCTGCAACTAAAACAGAGATAGCAACTAGAAACTTGGGTTCTAAAAAGGCTGATAAGAACCCACTGAACAAACAAAAATTGAAAGTAGCCCTCTGTAAATCAAAGAGATTAATCTATCAGTGAGTTCTCTGATATCTCTGATGAAGAAAATAATATGGAGGTGACAACCAACCTCACCTTCAAAAGGAAAATCCTCAGTAAAATTGAAGAGGGACACTTTTGCTAAAAATGCTGCCTCAAACACACAATGATTATAAAATAATCCAATGAAACTAGTTGTTTCCTCAACAACTTCTCTGACATTAAATACTTGAACATCATCTACCTCATCTCTCTGTGTGGCACTCCAGGAAACATGTCTAATACCTGGAGAAGATATCTCTTTAAGAGATTTCGATTTCTACTGCAAGGATGATGATAGCCAGAACCGTGCCAGTTGAGGTGTGGCTATTTTGGTTTCAAATCACATCCCATCCTTGCCAGTACAAATCACTACTGATTTGCAGTCAGAATTTCTATTGGAGTAACTATCACCATTTGTTCTATTTGCCACCAGATGTCAAAGTCAATGAAGATGAATTGGATACCTTGGTTGAACAGCTGCCAACTCCATTCCTTTTAATGAGTGATTTCAATGGCCACAATCCAATGTGGGGCTGATCGACTTTACTCATGATTAATCGTCAAGGCAGAGCCATTGACAGGTTCCTAGGCAATCACCAACTGTATTTATTTAATACTGGAGAAGTGACATACTTTCATGCCCCAAAAAGAACATTCACTGCCATTGACTTATCATTAGCAACTCCAAATCTGTTTTCAGCATTTACATGGGAGGTCGGATCTAATCCACTCTCTAGTGACCACTTCCCAATATTTTTAAAATATGAAGGCAGAGAAAGCTGTGAAACAGCCTGTCCACCATGCTGGAAACTCGAAACGGCAGATTAGCCTGCATTCTCCTCTTTGGCTAACATCAGTGAGGAAATGGTCAATACTGCTGATATCAATGATGCAGTTGAAGTTGTCACTTTGTGTATTATTCAGGCAGCTGAAAAAACAATGCGGAAAACATCAACCAGATGTCCAAAACATTTGAAACTATGGTGGGATCAGAATTGCGAGGAAACATTTAAAAAACAAAATAGAGCATGGGATATTTTCAGAAGACCCCACTGCTAACGATTTGGTTGCTTTTTAAAATGAAAAGACAAATGCCAGAAGAATTAGAAGGCAAAGCGAAAGGCATTCTTGGAGGAAGTATGTTTCTAGCATAACATTTACCAGCTCAAAAGCAGTCTGGGATAAAATCCATAAAATTAATGAGAAATATGCTTCTCATTCTCTATCCATGTTGGAAAATAATGGCTCAATAATCAGCGATATATAGTGTATTGCTGATACTCTGGGTGAAACATTTTCCTCTTCATCCAGCAATATTATGTATCTAAGGAATTTTTAGGTTTATAAAACCCAAAGAGAAAAACAAAATTTTAATTTCTATTCTTCATCTAATGAGGAATATAATGTGCCATTTAGCAGAGTAGAACTACATACAACAATCTCTTGTTCGGGGAATAGTGCTGTCGGCCCGGATAAAATCCACTACAGCATGATTAAAAATCTCTCTAGCAATTCTCTTAGTAATCTTCTAAATCTGTTTAACTGAATATGGACAGAACATACTTTTCCCGACTCTTGGAGGCTATCAATTATCATCCCCATTCCAAATCCCAGTAAAGACGGCAAGAATTCTTTTAATTACAGACCAATCTCTCTGACAAGTTATCTCTGTAAACTCTTTGAGAGAATGGTAAACAGAGCACTGATGTATCTCTTACAGAAAAAGGAATACTTTTCATTAAATCAGATTGGTTTTCGTAGGAACATAAGTAATACAGACAACTTAGTAAACCTTGAAACATCTATGTGCGAAGTGTTTGTTAGATGACAGCACTTGTGTCTGTTTTTTTTTTGATATGGAGAAGTTTTATGATCGCTGTTGATGATACATAAGACATAAGATTTAAAGTAATTGGCCGAACTCGAGGGTATAGCCAAGGAAGGAATAGGATAGGGAGAAAGGGGTGAGTGAGGGAGGAGAAGAAAGAGAAGGGATGTGTATAGGGGGTAGAGGAGGGGAAAAGAGATAGAAAGGAAAGGAGGAATCCATGGGCGCCTGCCGGGGACTGATTAAAGAACAGCTTAAAATGATATACAATTAACAAGGTAGATTATATACAATTTGATTGGACAGATGAGATAGGTGGCGCCTTATGAGGCTTACATGCAAGACGAAGTAGAGAACCTGTATCCTGAGAATGGAGCCAGGATTGGCACAGCGAAGAGTAGGTAGACCGTTTGTGATGATGATGTGGAGGGATTTCAGATGAGATCCGGAGAGTCTTGCTTACTGGGCACGGGTGATATTGGTGAGGTAATCTGACCGTTGATTGGAATATGGTAGTCCGCTAGCCTCAGGTTGTTAATGTACTGCACAAAAGTGCGATAGGTGTCCCTGTCTTCAATGAGGGTATTGAGGGGACAGGGCCAATGGTGCCCCTTGTCAGTTACCTTGCGCAGTAGCAGTTGTCGGTGTTGAGTAAATTTCGTGCAGGTAAAGATGAGGTGGAAAGAGTCGTCCTTTTCTTGTATGTTACAGTCACATAGTTCATTTTCTTTATTAACCCCTTCTGAGCCGCGCTCGAGTGTGACTCGAGCAAGTTTTATAGCGTTACATCGTTAAGGCTACTTTTGAAAAAATTATTTTTTTTGAATTTTTGGAATGTTTTTTAGGTCCCCAAATTTTTTCAGAATTTTTTGCGCACGCGAAAAAATTTTATCGCGATTTTAATAAGGCTCGATTAAGGCTTAATGTTTTTTTAATGGGAGTTTTTTATCAAAATTAATTTATCATTCTAAAGTTGTAGCGCNATTTTCATCACCTGTAGTTAATGAAATCACATATGTTTCATTGCTTATTTTTTCTCTTCTAATTTTATGCTTAGTAATAGTATAATCGTTATTGTGATTAGATATGTTAAACCAATTTCTAGGAATAGTAACTTCTCAGACCGACTACCCATTTTCCACACAAATCAATAGGTGGACTCATTTTCACAATAGAATGAGACTTCTTATTTTCTGGAAATAAATCCATGCTGGCGTTGCTTATCAGAGTTACAAAAAAGTCTTGACTGCATCATTCTGTTACCTTCTGTAATTCTTCTGTATAAAATCTTCCTTCCAAAATTTTGTTATTTAAATTTTTCAATATGTATGTGGGAGGATGAGATAAAAAACGATCGTGAATAATAAATATTTCTTTTGTCCACCCTGGTAGATATCCTCGACTAAACGTTTTACGTATTTTCAAAATTTGAATGAGATCACCAATATTAAATTTAAATGTATTTTCTCTTTTTATACCATAGAGCTTTTCAAAAATCGCACTGTGATGCAAATGTGTAACTTCCGACGGAGACATACCGATACTTCTATGAAAACTATTATTGTAGCTTTTTACAATATCAGATAATTTATCAATATATTTATAAGAATTACGATAAGTAAATAATCTATATATTTTATTCCGCAGNATTCCCTAAAGAGCTTTTGATAGTTTTGGTGGAGCTGCTGTTTATTGTGTTGATCCGTTTCCCTTCGGAGTTGCCTCTTTGCAGACCGCACCTTCTTCCTTTGTTGTTCTACGTCCCTGTTCCACCAGGGAGCCGAAGGTCTGTTAGTTTTGACCCTTGTGGCATGATAGAAAGCCGTATTGATTGCCTTCTGGAGTTGATCCACCGCAAAATCTATGTCAGTAGTAGTATCTATATGAGACAGACCTGTGGGATCCCATTGGTGTTTTAGAAGTTCTTGGTAGTAGTCCCAATTTGTGATGTTATGGATACTTAGGTTTGTGGGGGGGTTTACCCCTGTAACTTTAGTGAGAATGTAGGCATGATCACTGACCGAGATTTCTTCCTGTGTTTGACAGTCTATGTCCAGTTCCAGAAGTTTACTATTACCCAGACAGAGGTCGATCCAGCTTTTCCCGTTCGTGCTGGAGAAGGTAGGTAAGTGGCTGGTGTTGAGCGAGTGAAAATCAAGCTCTGCCATCAATTCATTTACTGCATATCCTCTCGGGTCCTCAATTGGACTATACCAAACTGGGGACTTTGCATTGAAGTCCCCACATATTAGGATTGGGTGCTGTGGGAGGTTGTTGGTTAAGTCCCTTATATCATTTAGGGGGGAGAGAATGTCTTCTGAAGGTGGAGCATACAGATTAATAATGTAAATATTGTCCAAGCCTAGGTTAACCCTAATAGTGGTGATATACTGGTTACAGCCTTGAGTTATTAATTGCACATTCAGATTGTTGTTGAGGATTTGGAAGCCTGTCTTTATGGGTTGGTTGTTAGTATTCCCTGTGAAGATTTTGCCTTTGCCAAGAAGGGCAACCTTACCTTTGTATAAGTATGGCTCCTGGAAGGCCATAATATCAGCCTTCTTTTCTATCACCATCTTTGTTGTTTGTGAGGACGCAGCCTCGCTCCTCTGTAGGTTAATTTGAAGGATACAGAGAGTATTAGATGTTTGAAGCATGAACGTGTTGCTTGGGTTATCACTGTGGGAGTTCCTATCCATATTGAGCAAATGAGGAGAAGCCATTATTCGTATTGGGTTGCCTGAACCTGGATTGCTCTGTACTTTATAAACATTTGGCAGCTTTTGTCAAAGGCATTGTGGTCAGTATATACTCTTTTAGTCTCCGGCACTGTGCTGTTATGTTTTTTGCAATTGATGCAGACTGGATCATTCCGGAGGTACGGGCAATCCTTAAACTTGTGTCTCCTTGTACAATGTGTGCACCGTTCTTTTTCAGTGCACTTGTGGGAGGTATGGCCATATCCTGCACAGTTGAAACAGCGTATGATAGAAATATAATCGTCTAATTGTATAGAGCTCCAGCCTATGTATACTCTTATGGATTCCATTAAGTAGTTTCTGATGCATGGTTTGACTGATATAATAATATGTCTTGTTTCCTTGTTGCCTTTGGGGTGAAAGCTGTGGCTTATTTTCGTGCTTGAAGTGAATTGTTCTTCAGATATGTGATCATGTAAAAAAATTATTTTGCCTATACATGTCTTGTATTAAGTCATCTTCCTCTATGCTATCTGGCACATGGAATAGAATGACTTTCGGTTGTTTTTTAGCCCTTTCCACTATCTTTAGTTTGTTGGTTAGGGTTTCGTGTGTTTGCACTGCCGATTTAAGCTTTTGAATATCAGTCTCATCATGAACCTGGATCTTGACGTCCCCACTTGGGAGAGGTCTAACAGCCTTAATCCTAACCCCAAGACTCTTTGGGTCTACATGGGATTGGAGTAGGTCCACAGTTTCTTCCAGTATCGGTTCAGGATATTCAGGATTTTTGATTGCAGCTATAACTATTTCGTGGCTTTCGATTCTTGGGTTTTTGATCCCATCTAGTTTGGCTGCTTTTGCCGAAATCAATTTCGTCCTCCTACTTGTCGGCTTCAAGTTTTTCTGCAGGGTTTCTGAGTATGTGGCCTTACTTGGAGGTGGGGGAGTCGGCCAAGGACTTGACTCTCTCCCTGAGGGCCAGAACCACTCCAAAGATCTGGTTGGCAGCAGCGTGCATTTTAACTGCTGCCTCCCTGGCCTGAGCACGTTCTTTGGTCCTAACGGATGCATTAGAGTTGGTAGGGATATTGTTTAGGATTACCTCAAGATTATCATTGATAGAGTTTATTATTCCTCTTCAATAAAACTATTGTTAAGGGATCCGTTGTCCTCCGCCGCCATATTGTAGAACTTAGCGAGGAAAGATGAGTGGATTAGCCGAATGGATTAACACAATATTCACTAGTAAAATTGTCCTAGAGACAAGACTTTTGTCAATTAGTGCAAAGTTTCAGAGTCAGAGTAGTAGTCCATGAAAATATATGTTTGTGGTCCAGTGGGATGTGACGATAGACAGAAAAACAATATCACGCCGAACCGGCGTCGGTCAAGCCGAACGGCTGAGAATTAATTAATCTGTAACTGGTACACTGACTCAAGCATAATCGCGTGCAATCTAGATTGATAAATAGTTTTGACGATCTTGGTAGGGCAATCCACGAATAACAGTTCAACACACCACTGGGAAGAGCACGCCGATCGGCTAGATCGCGCCAAGTGGCTACCGGGAACACGTGGTGAAATAACAGTCTTTGTTTAGCAGAACTTGATTTCGATCGCGATTACGCGGTTGGTAATTGACATAATAATATCAAACTTGGAGGGTAAGTTAACATCAAAATGGTCTATCAATAACTGAAGAAAAATCCGAGATAACACAATTGGCGGCCCCGATGGGGGCTGACAAATTTCCAATACTTCTGACGGTGATAACTTTTGACGAAATGTTCCGATTTTGAAAAGATTTGTACTTACGGAGAGCAGATTAATTCCCACTTCAAATAATATATAATGTGTGTGGTTAATCCAAGTAGAAACACATATAATTTCGACAAGGCGGAGAGCACGAGTTTACCATCCATACACTTTTGACTGGCAACTGGTTCAAAAATGCTGTTGGTGATATAGGATACTCTGTGATCTGTACCAATTTGGAATGCAGGGTAATTTGCCAATTTTTATAAAAAACTTCCTACAGAATTGAAGATTCCAAGTCAGGATGGGCAACACACTATCTAGTCTCTTCATATAAGAAGGTGTTCCTGAAGGTTGTATTTTGAGTGTGACTCTGTTCCTAATCAAAATTAACAGGATAGCTAAGTGTCTTCCTTGTAATGTAAAACACTCTCTGTACATGGATGACTTTCAGATCTCCTGCCAGTCTATTAACATGAGTTTCATTGAGAGACAACTGCAAACCTCTAAATTGCATAGACAATTGGTCCAAGACCTATGGTTTTGTGAGGACCCAAACCGGGTCTGAAGAGAGGCAATTAACAACTTTTTGAATGAGTCAAGTTTCATAGCGCGATAGAGCAAACTTAAAGATCGGATTTAAACAATGAACCTTTTGTCTTGTTAAAAGATTTTAAACAATAGATAGAGTAAAGTTGAGGAAAATGCGGTTGGGGAGGAGTTGTGTTCCGACGCGACATTGACATCTCACGCACCGTTCGTTGACCTCTCCCATGCCCTTCATTGGGTTTTGAATTGTCACCATGTGACGAGGAGAGACCAATGGAGAGGCGACAGCGGTGGAAAAATCAATAAAGCCGTGTTTTCGGGAACTTTACGGGGGCTTGGGTTTTGGTGCGTAGTGCTCACCTGCTGGGATTTGGTGCTCACGACAGAGACACAATGAAGGCTCTTTCGACGTCCTAGGAACTGGTTTTGCCAATTCGTCCCGCCCAGAATCGCCAAGGTCATGTTCAGAATCGTTGAGGTTTGACTTGTCCACCGAGGACATCTCTACAAGTGCTGTGCATGCCCCGGGGCCATCGTCTTCTGTGTCCAGCGTGTCAACAATACCCCAAGGATCGATCAAACAGTCAAAATTTTCCATTTGTATTGGAACTGTTATATTAACTCATCGTGGGATAGGCTTTCGCCTGACTTACTGAATTATTGTAAGAACCATTTATGTATATTATTAAACTGTTTCATATGGTAAACCTGTCTCGGTGAGTCATTCCACACCCACAAAGTCGTATTGGCTGCTCGATGGTCAAACTCGTGCATCCACTTTTGCCAAAGGCGTGGTTTGCACCTGATCCAGAAATTTTCCTAAATGGGGATAAAATCCCAATGGTGAAGGAGGCAAAGTTTTTGGGTGTTTGTTTTGCCCAAAAGCTGACATTCTTGCCACACTTGCACAACCTGAAGAGTATATGTTTAAAATCTAAACCTTTTAATGATACTATGCTGTTCATTCTGGGGAGCAGACAAAGTTTCTATGCTCAGGATTTATAGGGCCCTTGTCTGCTCTAAGCTGGACTACAGTTGCATTGTTTATGGCTCTGTGTGAGAATTTACTCTTCGGATGCTGGATCCAATCCGCTATCAAGCACTGCGTTTGTGCACTGGTGCTTTTCGAATTTCTCCTGTTCAAAGTCTGTATGTGGATGCTTATGATCTTCCACTATCTCTCAGGAGAGAACAGTTGTCTCTTTTTTTGTACATCAAACAGAAATCTGTGAATACACTTTTAGCTAATAATTCAAATACTCAGCTGAAAAGATTATTTGCAGTTCGGATGAGTAGTGTTTCTACATTCAACAATAAGAATGGAGAATGTAAGCAGGATGATTGACCTGGACATAAGCAACATCTCACAGGTTGAGGTCAATAGTATTTCACCTTGGTCAACCCCAGTGATAGATGTTGATTTAAGCTTAAAGCAGTTTTTCAAAGAAACCACACCAAACTACATCTATAGACAGCACTTTGGAGAAATTCAACATCGTGACTCGAATTTTAGATCCATCAATGTATATAGGAATTAATCGGATAACTATGTTTGTTTAGCCTTTGTTTGCCAAAATAAAATTGTGGCGGAACAAATAGCAAATTCTTCCATCTTTTTTGTGGAGTTGCAGGCTATTTATTTAGCCCTAAAATACATAAATAGGAATAGCGATGTTTATACATAAATAGGAAAGGTCATCATTGCTGTCTGATTTATACCCATTCAGTTAGTGCACTTCAGGCTTTGATTTCGTATGAATCTAGTTCTCACTTTATAGTGATTAAAATTTGTAAACTAATTTGTTATCTCACTATGAGAAATTTTTCTGTAAAGTTTTGTTGGGTTCCGGGCCATGTGGGTATAAGAGGTAATGAAGAAGCTGACACTGCTGCTAAGTGAGCAAGTCCTTCACAGCATATACTATTTACCCTGGTGCTTGTGCCAAAAAATCAAAACCAACCAAATAACCATTGAGTTGGGCAAATTAACCATTTTGCATGGCGCAGCTTTGCCTTTGTGGCCCTTGTGTCAAAAAACTCCAACTAACCAACTAACTTACTGTCCATAATTTTTTCGCATAATGGTCATCTATTTCATTTGTTTCAGTACTGGGCATTTGTGATCAAATGCATTGTGTTCTGTATATTCCCTTTTATTTCTATCTGATGTGTCGTTGGCCTCACTGCAATTTATGCACTTGGTGGTTATTCCTTATGCAGTCAGTCTGCATACCTATGCTCCCTCCCACAGTGGCTACAGGTAACCAGTTGATCACACTATCTAGTGCAGTGTTTTTCAACCTGTGGGTCGCAACCCCCCCTGGGAGGTCGCGAAGTTTTACACGGGGGTACAAGAAAAAGACAAATGTTTGCAGGACCTACACTACATTAAAAAAACTACTATTTCAGCGAGAATTATGGCCCACCCCAGAAAATGATAGCGGAAAAAGTTGTTGAGCTGATTTTCTAAAGGAAATAAAAAGCAGAAAAGTAGAAGCTGAAAATTGAAATCCAAAAAAAAAAAAAAATACCGTTGGTGAACAGTTCCATGTGCCTAATGTTACAATTAAAGGAAGTTTCATACTTTGTGTGTGTTAAATTATTGTCGATTCTGCTGAAACTTTCATTTTAATCAACAGTAATTTGTCTCAACAGAAAGAAAATTAAATACATAGTTTTTAAAATCACTGATATAGTTTTAATATGGCCCTAGGGGCCATATTAAAATTTTTTAACTTGTAAAGGGGTTATGTATTCAAGAAGGTTGAAAAACACTGATCTAGCGTAATGGCCGAAGCTGCAGCACCTGAAACATCTTAATATGTAGACAAAATCGTCCACCCCCTCGATGTGGGTTCCTGTTTGTGGTGAGGGGACCTCCCAGATATGGTTTAGTAACTCTTCTTTACCATCCCTGGGATCTGAACGCCCACCCACGTGTTTGCTGTGCGTGGTGTCCCGTATGCAGGAAAGGGGGATCCTGGTAGTTGAGGGGCAACATAACATCCCCAACACACTGCTTTGGCCCCTGCTTCGGATAAATGGGAGGCTCAAACAAGGCTTCGTTTGAGTCAATTGGCTGGTCATTGAGTCATTCTTGGCCTCGGCTTGGAGTCAATTGATCGATGCAGATCGGGTGGACACGTCCGACAAGATGTGCTCTTCTTGACTGCATTGTGAAGGTATAGCTCCTGGGAAACCCTGGTATGACGGTATATGGAAGTACTCCATGTGATGGCACCCCCTTGTTGGGCCTTGTGGTGGGTGGGGTCACTAAGACTCGAATAATTATATATAATTATGGATTCAAAAACCAAAAACGATCAGATACACCAACAACAAATGAAAAGACATCCAGTCAGCCATCCTACTTGATAATACATGCTACTGGAGAAAAACCTCTTTCGAAATGCTTTCCATTTCTCATTCAAAAAATATTTGAATCAAGTATTGGACACCTGAAAAAGATACAAAAATTGAGGTCAGGGGACTTACTTGTAGAAACTGCCTCATCTCAACAGTTGGCAAAACTTTTAGTTACAAAGAACCTGGGAGATATTGAAGTAACAGTCACACCACATGGAAGTTTGAATTCCATGTGGTGTGATATCTGAGATCGATCTGATGTCTGAAGATGAATCAGATATTCAGATCACCCTTTCAGACCAAGGCGTCACTGCTGTCCGACGTATCTCCATTTGTCGAGATGGCAAGTTGATACCAACTAAACATCTCATTCTTACTTTCGGAAAGCTGACATTATCATTATTTGTTACTGCAGGATATCTGCGCTGTCCAGTTCGTCCATACATTCCAAACCCGCTTCGTTGCTTTAAATTCCAGCGATTTGGACATTCCCAAACATCCTGTCGAGGCAAAAGTTTGTGCGCACAGTATGGAGTTGAAGGCCACCAGAGTACTGAGTGTACAACCACTCCATGCTGCGTCAACTGCAAGGATGCCCATCCTGCCTACTCTTGAAAATGTCCCATGTGGCAAAAAGAGAGAGATTCAGCGGGTAAAGACGGTGAATAATATACCTTACCCAGAGGCATGACACATGGTCACTTTAAATGCACCTTTGAGACAGAAAACATTTGCTGCTGTTTTGAAATCCACAAAGACATGTAGGGTTCAAACAGATATTTCTGTCTCCCCAAGTGAATCTCTTACCTGCCATGCGAAATGTCTAATTCTCCCACCTCTCCAAACATCAGAAAAAGAAACCAAGAAGGCGAAAACACCCCTACCAAAAACAGGGGTAATAACAAGAAATGTGGGTTCTAAGAAGGCTGCTAAGAACCCGCTCAACAAACAAAAATTAAAAGCAGCCATCTCCAAATCTAAGAGATCAGAGGCTCAGTCTATGAGTGAGTTCTCTGACTTCTCTGACGAGGAGACTAATAAGGAGGTGACACCACCAACTTGACCTCCAAAAGGCAAATCAGCCGTATAACTAAAGAGGGATACCTTCATGAAGAATGCTGCCTCAAACACATAATGGATTATAAAATAATCCAATGGAACTGTCGTGGTTTCAGCAACAAGTTCTCTGACATTAAACACTTGACATCATCTACCTCATCTCTCTGCGTGGCAATCCAGGAAACACATCTGATACCTGGAGAAAGAATTACTTTAAAAGGATTCAATCTCTACCACAAGGATGATAATAGCCACAACCGTTCCAGTGGTGGTGTGGCTATTCTGGTTTCAAATCACGTTCCATCCTTTCCGGTACAAATATCAACAGAGCTGCAAGCTGTGGCAGTCAAAATTTCAATTGGCGTAACTGTCACAGTTTGTTCTATATACTTGCCACCAGATGTCAGAGTCAATGAGAACGAACTGGATGCCTTGGTTGAACAGCTGCCAACACCATTCCTTTTATTTGGTGATTTTAATGGCCACAACCCCTCGGTGTGGGTTCCTGTCCGTGGTGAGGGGACCTCCCAGAGATGGTTTAGTAAGTCTTCTTTATCATCCCTGGGATCTGAACGCCCACCCACGTGTTTGCTGTGTGTGGTATCCCGTATGCCGGAAAGGGGGATCCTGGTAGTTGAGGGGGCAACATAACATCCCCAACACACTGCTTTGGCCCCTGCTTCGGATAAACAGGAGGATCAAATCAGGCTCCGTTTGAGTCAATCGGCTGGTCGTTGAGTCATTCGTAACCTCGGCTTGGAGTCAACCGATCGATGCAGACGTGTCAGAGAAGATGTGCTCTTCTTGACTGCATTGTGAGGGTATAGCTTCTAGGAAACTCTGATGTGACGGTCTATGGGAATCTCTCATGTGATGGCACCCCCTCGTTGGGCCCCATGGTGGGTGGGGTCACTGGGAGCTGAATTAATATTACATAATCATGGATCATCAAAAAACAAAAACTACAGACAATTCTATTAACCCGTTGGGCCTTATTCTTTAGACCCGAATGCAGTTTGAAAATTTTTTTCGTTTTTGAATATTAAAAAAAAACATCATTTGAATTGAAAAAAAATTTTGTTTTTAATTTTTGTGAATGCACCTCAGTTGGTTCCTAAATGGCATCTTTTCCTCTGGATAGCCAACTTTACAGGGGCCTGCAATGGTGGCTTCTCTGCATGACGAACTATCATGCTGGAAAGCTGCCATTCGTAGCTTAGCATCGGTTAGCGTTTAAAAATAATTTTAAGAAATGAAACATGACACAACATAAAATGAAAATAAATTTAATGACGAAAATAAAATTAAAAGTTATTTATATGAAAAACAATAAAATATTTACAAATATACATCATGATTACACTTTCCATATTGTACAAAACATATCTATAATTAAAAAAGATAAAAAATAGAAAAATAAAATTAAAATTTAATTCNTTCGCATTAGAAAGGATGCGAATCTCTCGCATCATTCGGAATATTGAAAAAGAAAGGGGGAAGAAATTTCTATTTCTGCTACATTTAACGTCGGAATAAAATAAAATTAGAAATTTATTTTGGTATGATAGATTTTGAAACAAGGCGCCGGACACAAGGCCACCTTACAAGATTCGCACTGGTACGTTGTTTCCCGTCGAATTTTTTTTTCTTTGTCATCACGTTTACTGCAACAAACGACACAGTATCTGGTTGGAGCAACTTTTTTGTCGGTCGGCGGAATAAAGTCCGGGAAATGTTTTTCCGTAAGTCTAAGCGGACTCGGAATTCTCGTCTGACCATGTTTGCTGGGCCTCGTTTCGGTGTGATACATTGTTATAATGCGTTCAATGATGGTCATTCTAAATGACAGATGTGTCTTTTCTCCACCATTTTTTGTGTACAAAACATATGAATTATATAAAGAAATATCTAACAATTGAAAGAATATTTTTTTGTAGTATTTCTTCCCTCTTTTTCTCGCCACAGTATAATCATGGAGATGCTGATCTAAAAGGTCAACACCTCCCATAGTGTTGTTATAGTCAACAACAACTTGTGGCTTCATTACAGTTTTACCAGTACGTGTTTCATTACTCACCATTCTTGGACTGTGGAATGTAGAGAGGAAAGTGACTGTTCTTCTGTCGTGCCATTTTTGGATCATCACTTTACCTCTCTGCATTGCCACAGTCTCTCCTTTTTTAAATTTCTTTTGATGTAATATCTTTGGAACATCTTTCCGTGTTGTGCGTAATGTTCCACAACAATCAGTTTTGACCGTTATAAGATAATCTGCTAAATGTGGGGAAGTATAATAATTATCCGTAGTTAGACAGTATCCCTTGTCTAACAACGGGTCCATTAATGTTAATACAACTTGAAAGGTAAATAACAAATTTGCGTACTTTTGGTTTAGGCAAGTGCCTTTTCCAGTGTAAATAATAAATTTGCACAGATATCCGGATTTCGATTCGCATAACATAAAAAATTTGACACCGTAACGAGACCTTTTCAGAGGAATGTACTGCTTCCAGGAAAGACGGCCTTTGAACAATAGAAGGCTTTCGTCAACGCTGACGTTTTGTTCGGGGGTATAAAAACTGGAGAATTTTAAATTAAGATTTTTTACTACTGGCCAAATTTTCCAAAGTTTTGGATTTTCATGCGTTTCAGGATTATAAGTGGTACTGTCTGCAAAATGCAAATTTTTTTTTATATCCATGTATCTACTTTTAGTCATTAGTTTACCAAAAATTGGGGTGTTTATAAGATCATTCCTGGACCAGTACATTTTCACAGATGGTTTGTATAACAGTCCTTGTAATATACAAATCGCTAGAAATAAGTATATTTCTCCGACTGTTACTGGCTCCCACTGATCCCTAGATGACCGTGCCTGTTGCATCGCAAACTTATTTGTTTCAGTTACAATAAGGTTAATTAGTTGCAAGTCAAAGAATAGCAAAAAATATGCCAACGGGTCACAAACGTCCGTAATAGTAAATTTACATCCTGGATTTCCCCAAAAAGTAAATCGCAAAGGAGGTGGAGAAGGACTTTCCAAATCTAAATCTACCCAGTTTCTGGCAGAGAAGCCGTCTCCATCGTCGCTGTTGTTTGACGACATATCTTGGCTAATAACGCTGATGTCTGAGTCACTTTCAGACAGTTCTTCGTATTCAAAATCTGAATCTGACATTCTAACAATAAAAAAAATTTATCTAAAAACCCGTTATATTTATCTAACGCGAAATAAAACAATATTATTTTTCTCTAGAAATAGTATATTTCTTATAAACTTACTTGATAAAATAGCGAAATGTATTTAGTCAAGCAGATAATAGATAATACAGAATTTCCAACTGTTCTAGCAAAAGGAAAAAAAATTATCTAAAAACCCGTTATATTTATCTAACGCGAAATAAAACAATTATTATTCTTCTCTAGAAATAGTATATTTCTTATAAACTTACTTGATAAAATAGCGAAATATATTTAGTCAAGCAGATAATACAGAATTTCCAACTGAACTAAAGGAGAACTTGTCTACTAGTCTACTAGAAAGCAAGTGAGAATTTCTTGAAGCATTCGAAATAAGAACAAAGAGACAGAATTTCTAGGAACAAATATCTGACGTTATTTATTGCAGTCATAAATTGCAATAACAATCCCTGGTATCGGAAACTTTTGTACTTACAGTACAATACCATTTCCAATTAGCAAATTTTTATTACAGGTTCTCCCTCCATCTGAGAATTGATAATTTCATGAAAGTGTTTGGAAGTTCTTTCTAAATGCTTTTATATGTAAATAATTTTATAGAAATATGAATAACATATCACCGTTTATGATTGTTGACTATAACATATATATGTTAACAAAAATGTATAAAATTCAAGATTTGAAAAAATCAAAAAACTTTTGTGTGTAAACATTCGATCAATCTGTTATATGTTACATAGACAGGTCTATTTTCTCAAAAAAACTGCAGCTTTCTAAATCAAAGTAGAGATAGAATACGGCCTACAGTTTACAACGCAACTAGTTTGGGGGGGGTGGTTGAAATTTGTAAATCTAGGTCAACTCACATTTGTGCATCGATGGTGTATATTTGATTTTGTTTATGTTATTTATACTATTATAATAAGCAATTATTTCCTTATTATGTGAACGATTATACATGTATTATTGTTTACGTATTACGGAAGTATCACAATAATCCGGAAGTACTTTGTTTTTTAGAAAGACTTATGGCTGGATGATTCTGAAAAAACGTTTATAAACGTAAAACAGTATGAATATACATATAAATTTATTAAATTCAGGTAAAAATAAATCAGAATAACGATTTATGATTGTTTCTATATGTTCGTAGCTTACAAANGAAGTACTTTGTTTTTTAGAAAGACTTATGGCTGGATGATTCTGAAAAAACGTTTATAAACGTAAAACAGTATGAATATACATATAAATTTATTAAATTCAGGTAAAAATAAATCAGAATAACGATTTATGATTGTTTCTATATGTTCGTAGCTTACAAAGAGTATCTCCGAGAATGCATGGCTTTTTGCTTGAAATTTCCCACCCCACAAACCTGAGTCTATGCTTATTCGTTGAAGGATAGTCAATTAGCTATAATATACCAGTTGCAGCTCAACAGGCATGTGACCGAAGGCTTGTTTCATCCAAAAAACAAAAGAAGTGTGTTCCATAGATATAACAATGGGAAGGAGGAGTTTTGTACAAACTGTAACCAAATCTGTAGCGATCTAAGCTTTGATTTGCTTTCTTGTATGTGTCTTTTGACTGTCTCAACCAATAAATGTTTTGTCACCACCTCCTGGCCATAAATATTTCGCAAAATATCGACTCCTTCCAGTGTAAAGTAATTAGAAATGAAAAGGCAGATTACTGGCTGATAAAATTGATAGTCAACTTCTTTTAGACTGTAGTTGGTTACTTTCTGTCTATGTTGATATTAGATCAACGAATGAGCCACTTGTGAAAACAGTGGAGCTCAAATTTCTGCTCTCTCTGGTTACCATCTTTGAAATATGTAAACAATCGTTATAAAATTGTTTGTTTCTAACGTTTTTTTAGCTCTAATTCGCTAATCTTTGTTCTTAGAGAGTATTTAGGTTAGCAAACATTATTTTAGAACTGTGAAGTTATAAATTATTTGGAAAAGTGACCCTTTCTCCTTGCAGTTACATAATATGACAAAATATGTAAAGAATCGCATCCGAAATTGCGTAGTATAGTCGATTATTGTAAAAATCGTCAAAAATAACATAAAAATAACGTTTATTATACATTATCGCTAAGAAAACTTGTGTTGACTTCGACCCTCAGATGACTCATCCACTCCCCTCCTAGGAGAGTAATTAGAGAAGTAGTGTAAATAATGGCAATATCTTCTCACTTGCTGTAGCTAGAAGGCTGTGGTTTGTTTTGTTTTCAAACAAAAGATGTATGTGACTAATAAATCTACGATATTTTAGCGAATTTATATAGGTAAATATATTATTTTTTGCTTTGTTCGAAAATTTATATTTTTTTATTATAATTTCACATTCGTTATAAACAAAATACAAAACTACTGTAAACTGTAATATGACTTTGCTAGAAAACAAAAAAAGACTGAATGTAGCGAGAATTTGAAGCGAGATACCACATTTGAAACAATACTTGCATCCGTAAAAGTGCTTTTCCTGCAAAACATAGTGTTTTTGATAGAAGAATGCCGAATTTTTATAAAAATTCTGTATATGAATATTTTTTATTAGCTTATTATCAGAAAAAGGTTTTATCTGTCCCACATTGCTTGACCCACACTACCCCCTGGAGTTCCTTTTCAAGAGAGAAATAGTATATTGTAAACAAAGACATTTTACACCCTGAGGCTCTAGAAGGATGCAGTTCGTTTAGTAAAGAAGACAACAAATTACTTTACATTATAAAATCTGCAAATAAAACCTATTGATTTATTTTTATTCTATGGTTTTTTCGAAAATGAACTATGTAAATATTATTGTAAATTTGTGTTTTATAGATAAAATTAGATCAAATGTGTTTAGATAAAAATAAACTAGGAAATAGTAATTGCAACAAAATATTCAACAATCTGTACAATACAATCGATATAGACTAGAAAGATAAGAAATTAGGATAGACAATCGTGTTATTTTATGTCTTCCTGTAGGACTTGATAATTGCAAGCAGGTGTGTCAAAAAACTTTTATTATAAAAGCATTTTTCATATAAATATTTTTACACAAAGACAAAAAATTCCTTATATTACAATAATACTTATTCTATAATGGTTTCTAGCTTTATACGCTGACATAAAAAGTTTTACAAAAAACTCACAAAAATCAAAATAATTTATAATACACCATTTTATAAAATAAATTTATAAAAAAATTTAGTTTAAATCTTTATTTATTTTATAATGTATTATTTAGAAACTTATTATTTTTCATGTAACACAATACTGGCAAAGAGACACTCGATACAAGCTTCAGTACAGATAAACATCTGGACGACCTTGAAAACAGCTGATTGTAAACTTTCGCGGGTTATCCCCAACAATGCCTGAGGGGTGTAGGTTTCTTACAGGTCTGAACTAGTTGCTGTAAATACTCGATTACGTTATATTCTGATAATTCTTTTATTATTTTCTTGTTATTACTTATATTATATGCTTAATTTGACCATATTAACCTAACATTGTTTTTTTATGCTTTACAGGAAAAACTGCTACAAAAAATTAATTAATAACTGACTGTATCTGGTTATCTGTTATGATACTTTATAAAAAAAGTTTTTATATTTTTAATTATAATAACATGGCATCCATCACGAATTTCAGGTAGGAATAAAGTTTATAAAAAATTGTGAATGCTAATAACGCGAAAAACCGTTATTAAGGCTGACTATACTAGAGATTTAATTTTTTTTCTTTCCTAACCATAAAGTTCTTTAATATCCAAAGTACAATATTAGTAACTCTTTGAAAAACCAAACTTTTAAGCCTAATTTCAATTATATTTGACAAAAATAACAGAAATTATTAAGCTTCGAAAAAGTTGAAAAAAATCGCGTTTTCTACACACGAACGGTACCGTTTTTTAGGAAATACGGTATCTACCGTTTTTCCTATAAAACGGTAGATACGTTCCTCTTTTTCTGAATCTATTTCTTACGAGTCCAGCCAATCACAGCCCGGCACATATGCAGTTTACAAACTACGTGCTGTTTGAAAAGTTTTTTCCATAAAATTAACTCTTTCTAGACTAATTCGACTCAACGTTTCCAAAATACGTAAAATTTTTTTGGGAGTAATTTGTAGTAACTATGCTATAAACAAAAAATTGTAGAATTACTTACCGAATGCGCACCGTTCGACGACGCCATTGATTAAGCTTGTTTTCTTCGCGGAGCGACGCCGTTCAATCGTCGCGGAGCGGCTATCGAACAGCGCTCCCGTACTTTCTTATAAATTATATTTTTGCGAAAAATTTGCTGAAGTTTAGAGACATCATTAATTTAAATATAATTTTTATGAACGTTAAATAATAAATCGTTTTTAGTAGGTACACTGCTTGTTTAAACTTAACGGTTTGTGTAATCCTGTCGCGACCCGAGTCGGCGATGACGTTTTACCGAATTATAGGAGTTTTTTTACATTTTTGTACGAATAGTGTCGCAATTTTTTCGCCGTGATATAGGAATTCAAACTTTAGAAATCTGTGTTATAGGGGAGTCGACTGTAATAATATCTACACAAATTCAAACCATAATTATTTTGCACACATCGGCGTTTGAAGTGCAAAACTCTAAAACCCTTCAGGTCGAATACCGCCTATTTGTCATACTTTTCCTCTGTTATAACAACCAGAAAATTTTATTACTTGAAGTTTTTCATGAGTACAGATTTGTCCTGAAGTTTAGCAGAACGAAAGTTTGCTTAATTTAAACGGTAGTTCATCCGGAATTAAAAACATTCTGTTGACAAATAGACAAATATATTTATTACGGGTCGTATACTTTTCAATATTTTGAAATTTTTCGCGGGTTATAAGGAAGTCCAATAATTTTTATTATATTCGGATATAAAATTTAAGTAATGTGGTGTTCTGGACACTGTTCAGGAGTTTGCATTTTAAAGTTTTTAAATCACTACCGAAAAAAAGTTTTTTATACAATTGATAATAAAAAGTTTTTAAATTCAAATGAAGGCTCAAAACTAGACGCGCGGTTATGGGACTTAATTAACTAATAGAAACGCACTACTCATAGCGATAAAAAAAGTGATATGTGATTTTCCTGGCTGTTATTTTATTTTACTTAAAAGTAACTTTTGTATTGTTAATCGTAATAAATAAATTTGTGTGACGCTATTTGTTATTAAATTTTGCTTTAAAAATTTTTATATTATTAATTATCAATCAATCAAAGTTTTATTGTACTAAGGAAAAAATCCTTCTTACAGGGGGGTTATTTTATACATGAAGAAAGAGTAGTAGCTTGTTTTACATCTTATGTTGTTTTTTTTTTGTAAACAAATAATTTTACAGAGATAGAAAATATATACATAAAGAAGTTTTAGTTGCATATCATTAGCTAAATATTAATTCATAACATCATTATCAAATATATTAGTAAAATGGGTGAAAAAATTATATAGATTATACATATCATTTTTTAAATAAATCTGCAAATCTTGACATAATTTAAATCATGGTTCATGCCAAGTATTTTTGTTATTCGGTATTTCTGATGACATTTTTAAATAGTTGTGCAGTCTTTCAATAGATGAAGAATAGAAAAGTTTTCCGAATTACACCAATAGTACTTTTGTTTAAAACAATTTATATATGTATTATTAACCAACAAGGAATATTTATTTAGACGAAGTTGTAATAATAATCGTTTAATATTAATATTTATATCAGTTATAATAAATCTGGAATCAAAAGAAATTTTTAAAATTTGAGAATACCATGGGTGATAATACGATTGCAATATTGTGTTTTGATCCTGAGTTATTGATTGCGACATGGCTTATTCCATTAGTAGTGTATACGCGTTATTTCAATTTATGTCAGATTTATCTAATAAAATACTTGAGATATCATATGTTTGAAGTATATTATTAAATTTGTATTGCCAAGTATCTTTGGTACAATTTAGAACATTAGATTGATACATATTTTGGTGTAAAAATTTTATATTTTTATCATCTGTATTTATAAGTTGGTAATAGAATCTTATTAATCTTTTTAAAAACCAAGGAAATAGTTGAATTCTATTTGTTTCTGCTCTAACAGAATGACCTGATACAGTTTTTTCAAGTTTGAATAATTTACGAAAATAATTTATATATAATTTTTCAAATTTTTAAAAAAAAGTCAAAATCCCATATTGGGCTGGCGTAAAAAAGGAAGAGTTATAGCGTTAAAAATTTTTATGTGAAGTTTAAAGTCAGATATTTTTAACTTTAAGCATAAATATGTATTATTGTCGATAAGCGAGTTAATTTTTGCAGTAAGTACTTTAAAATGGTGTTGAAAAGCTCCATTCCAGCTAAATGTAATTCCCAGGTATTTTATGTCGCTGATGATTTCTAGAGATTTGCCATATAGATAAAAGTTTTTTCTTAATTAGATAATTTGATTTTTATTCCGAAAATAATTATTTTCGTTTTTGAAGCCTTAATCGATAAATGTAACGATAAGTATTTATTTATGCTATCGAGTTTATGTTGTAATGTTATGCGAGTTGGTGCTAATAGTACTAAATCGCCTGCGTATAAAATATAGTGAAAAATACGACCATTAATATATATTCCTTATTAAACAAATTATGTCATTTATTTAGAAATTAAAAATATACGGAGAAAGAGGTTCACCTTGAAGTATTCCACGTTTTGTAATTATTTCTGTACTAAGTAAGTTGCTATTTACAATATGTAGTTTATAAGAAGAAAATAGATGCATAATCGAATATGAAAAACTGTTACATGCACCATATTGTTTTAATTTATTAANAAAGTTTGTGCTTAGATAAATTTTTAATAGTTATTGTAATATCTGTTAAAGAATATTTTTAAAGTGATTCATGATAACTTACTGTGAAAATTAGTGTAAAAGTGCGCAAAGGTTTTACGCTTTCTGTACGTTTACATTGGCGTTTTGATCAACCTAATGATAATATAATATAAGCTGTATATGATTACCTATACAACAACCTTACTCGCATCAAAAAATGCAACTAAAAAACCATTGCATAACCTGTTATAAATTAATACTTCTGTAGTATATTTTAAATTTTTCCTCATTAAATTTTTATTGTAGCGTATAATGTGCAGGAATAAATCATAATTATTGAAATTTAATACACGCTCGCTTATCAAGCACACACTCTATTGAAATGTGATCTATTATGCATTATTGTTTTCATTAAAATGCTACTTATATCCCGTATTCCCGTTTATTAGGATTTTGTTTTTGTGTATAGCATTCTATTTCAGTGTACCATTTTATTTTCCCTGGAAAACAAAATGAATCTAGTACTTTGGCAAAACTTTCTCAGTCTAAGAACGAGACAGGACTATCTCAGTCTACCTGCCATATATTAACCATTATTAATATGCGTTAATTAGAAAAATTAAAAAAAGTATTTTAGAGAAATTAAAATGAAAATTAAAAAAAATTTTAAAAACAGAGTTTCTTAACCAAAAACAAAAAACACGTCAAGTGCCATACATGAAATACATGATTTCTTCTGACATGCCACTTTAGAGACGTTTGCCCTAAGTTTGTGAACTTACGTGCATACTAAAGGAAAGGAAATTGCGTCACTCATTATCTTTAAATAAACTTCATTCATACTCACTTTTAGTTATCCGGTTTGGAAATATGTTACTGATCTGTCTAAAAAATAGCCAGAAGCGTGGTACGTATCATTGTTCGCATTTTGTAGTAATAATTTCTTGAGTAATTTCATAAATATATTAGTATTATATTTCATTTTTTACATTTATTTTGGAAAAACTGACGTTAATAATATAATACAAACATAACTTATCAGATCTCGTTTCCAAATTTTAAATATTTTAACATAAATTTATATAAAATTATATGATGGTTATGCAGGGTGACTCTATACAGTCCTGTTTAAAATAATTTTACGTTACGTAGATATATGAAGGTGCGTCTGATGTTAATGGAAATAACGAGTCACTCAGTTTTTATTATAGATTTGTCTATGGCTTATTAAATGCAAGCAGTACAACAAAAATGGTTTCATAAAGCGGCCCTCGAAATCCCTGTTTTAAACGGATGCGATTATATAAACGACAGATATTTTATGCTGCATTTTTCATGTTACATGAGCGAATTGCGGTTGAGAATTAAAAAAACCCGTTGAGAATTTCTATATTTTCTACTTAATTGTTTCTCGAATCGAAAGAAACCAAATCGAATTTCTAATATCAACATTCGAAAAACAAAACCTGAACACATTGTGCATTACAACAGTTATACTAAATAAGTTAATTACAATTGTGTTTCAATCTTCACTATCGAACAAATTTCTTTAGTATATTTATATTTTTTCTATATGCTTTATCTACCGAAAGTTTAACATTTAGCATCCAGCTGTAACTTTTCTGGCTTCTGATCATTAATGTACAAGCTAACAATTAAAAAATCTTAAGTGTGAATCGTCGAAATTTGTTTTATCACATTTTATGAGTATTGTTGTTTAAAACAGTAGAATATAATAAAAAAGTTAATAAAAACAAATAACATTTAAAAGGAATACAGCATTATTGACTTAATTTACAAATATGATTAAAAATTAATTATCAATATGAAATGGTCTCACTCTGCATTTTCTGCTTGTAATCTCTTTTATCTTCTTTAAAAGAATTTCCGTAATGAATACTACAGAAGCAATCAAATATCCTGTAACTAATAAATAGAGTAGACCCGTAATATCATCTATTTTCAGAGGTTCTTCATTATTATCGATTGGCTTATCATCGTAGAAGGAGTAGATTCTTGTTTTTTCATCAAGAACGTCTCTGTCAATTTTCTCAGATAATCCACTTTCTGCGATACGATTTACCCTGTTAGATATAAATATATACTATTAGTTTTCTGTATTACACTTCTGTGTATAAAGAGCACATGCACATATCAAGGATATTTCAGTTACTTAAATTATTCAAAATATATTTTGCCTATGAAACTCTTAAATTTGTTGCACGGTTCAGTAACGTCATTTATTAAATGAAAGCATTAAATAAAGAAGTTCCTGTCGAATTTTTGTGATTACACCATTTTAGCAATTTCAATTATAAATTCTCATACTTAAACAGTTAAATAGTATTAAATACATTTCCGTTAATAGTTTTTTGTAGACTTTAAAGAATTAAAAGCTAGTGGCTTTCTTTCTTCGGTAACACATCGCACGAGTAACAGTTTATTAATGTATATTTTATTTTAAAAAATGCATTTCGGGTTCTAATTACCCGTCTTTAATCTTTAGACTTTACAAAAAAGGGGCGTATTATATGTATTATTTTGTATAATGTAACTCATATCTTTCTCTTTTTATCTGTAAAGTATAAGGAATGAAGAGTGGTCATTAAAACCCGAAATGCATTTCTTTTAATAAAATATACCTAAATGAAATGTTTTTGTGTGATGTGTTACTGGAGGAAGAAAGCCACCAACTTTTAATTTTTTAAAGTCTAATTAAGTAGCAGTTCTTCTGTTATTGGCGATAAAAAAATTACATCAAAAACTGAATTTTTATTAATAAATAAAATAAATTTTACATAAATACATAAAAAATAAATGTATTTATGTAAAATTTGTCTTGGATACGAATGTCTTGGAGTAGGCCATGTATTATAAATTTTTACTAATTTTCTGCGATTGAGTAAATAAAACTACTGAACACTAGTAGTTGAACTCTCTTTTATTTGTGATTATGTAATGCCTATTAAAAAATATGCATGTTTTATTGTAAGTGTGTGAAATCTAAAGAATAGCCCATAAAATGTTTAAAACTCATATATAACTTTAAATTTTGCTGGTTTCATTACGATATTATAATCTCATTATTATATTTCTTTAACAAGGTATAAATTTACTTTCGTATAAAAATATAAACTGCTTTTTTGTTTTACTTATACAAAAGGACGTTAAATCAACGAAGAGATGATAAATTGTGTTTTTTCTTGATCATATACATAAAACATAAAATACCAATAATTATTTTTTAATATGTCATTGTAAAGTAAATCATAGTAAGATATAGTAAATCATAGAAATCATAATTAAAACTTTTGCAAGCTTAACAGTTAGAAATAAATTTCTGTAAATGGAAACTTTCAAACATGCTCAATTTAACATATACCCATAAACTATGCATTTTATTTAGATTATTTTTATGTAAGTAACCTACATCAAAATGTTTACACGAATTAAAAATTATGTATTAATTACTTATGTATTAATATGTAGCATTAATGAGTATCAATTATTGATCGCTTAGTTGTGGAAAGTTACTTACGGTTTCTTTCTCATTTGTTAGACATGTCACCGCTTTTCAAAACAGTGTTATGGAAGTTACACGTTTTGGTTTTGCAATACCACGCTATAGTAATTGTTAAATTTATGATTATCTTCAGTTATTGCACTCTATAAAGCATTAACGAAATGGAAAATTTTTTTCTGTCATTCGTTAAGAAATAAATAAAATCAATTCTACATATTACCAGATACGTTAAACTAAATTACTAACATTATAAAGAAATGTACTAATTTGTTTTGCTGCAATGGCGTGTTGTCGGACGTTTATCGCTAGTCAATTCTTTTCACAGAGTTAAATAACTACTAATGTTTAGTCGTATTTTCCACTGGGAAATTGTCAGTGATAGAAACACATTCTTTATACTTACGTTTTAGAGATTTCAGCACCATAATTCACTTGTATTAGGTTTATTTGTACGAAGTGAAAATGCGTAAAAAGTATGTCATCTGAGATGAAGACCTCTTCTTTTTGCCGTTTGGACATGCTCAATTCAATTTTCTGTCTTGATGCCAGCAATGCATGAGTTCCATTAAGTACTTTTTGAATGGGTTCTTTACTTCGCTCGAAATAATTTTGATTTATTTGATAATTTTCGTAAAAGATATTGATGACATCATTTTTAATTACTTTTTTTTTGTTGCTACTCTATAAATATATGAATAAATGAAATTCATGTAAATTAATTTACACACACACTTTAATATTTTTAGAGCATCTAACATAAAGTTGCAAATTTATAATGCTTTATAATTTATGTATAATCATATTTAATTAAAATTATTTTGAAAACATTATAATCAGGTCATCTGTGAGTTAACTGTATCAGGAATTCCAAGCTATAATATATTTGTAGGTGTAAATTAGGTTCGAGTATTTACGATGGATAGTCTTATGAATAGAAAAATAAAAACAATATTATATGTTTCAAGTTAAATTAAGGAAAACAATTTTGTATATAGATGGCCATTTGTCTATCAATACGATGTTCAATAACATTATGCAGACAAATCTGAATTATTTGTTCTATTAATAATATGATTAAATACGATTTACATTAAATATGAATAAACTCACAATCATTTTTTTATTTAACCGTTCAAATCTTTTATCAACACCTAATTTCTCAAAAATTATTAATTGACATTTAATTTTGGAAACTGTAATAGCAGGTTCTAATAAACTAGGAAATTACTTTGAATATGTCGACTGCATTCTTTCATTTACAGCAAGGAATGTAGTCCATTTACCAAAAGTAAAATAAGGTAAATCTCACTTTCTTTATTCTTTATTAGAATAACGTGAATGACAATTTCGGAAGTAACGATCATTTAACAAATATACATATTACCATAGAAAAAGTGATATCATGTTTTCAACTCTGCAGTATTGACAATTGATTGTTATGTTAAACGATTCTTTTAAAAAGCTTTGTATTTTAAATTTATTACTAATATTAATATTAATAAAATGACACGCACCTTTAAATACAGACCGTAAAAGTAAGATCTTTCATGACTAGGGTCGAATAAAGTGACGTTGTGTCGTCCTTCCTTTACTGACTGAGCCAATTCCTGAAATGTCTGAGGAATGGTTTCGGTTCCAGGATTAACCATAAACGATGGCAAAGTGCTGACATATGCTGATGTCAAGACAAATGCAATTAGAATCCAACAGCCAATTAGGATACGAAACGTTATGAGAAAATAAGTATTTATTGTTGTGTCTGGTAAATAAAAATAACAATAAACGAAAATAATAGTTAAATACATACGAAAAAAATAAATACATTTTAGTTTTAAAAATTATCGAATTCTTAATACTAATAATAATAATAATAATAATAAACATAACACACTAATTAAATAAACACCTCAAAAATATTTTCAAGAAAATCAAAGCACACACAAAACATTAACATCACAACACACACATTACAGAATACATCAATACACTAAAACAGAAACTCGCAGCCAAAGCAGGTAGATTCAAACGATACAAAACATGTACAGTACGAAAACGACAGAATAAATTATTCATAAACAATGAAAATCTTTTCTACAGACAAATCTTACCAAAACAAACACTGATACACAGCACAGTGGCACATCAACATAAGTGGAACTCACAACTTATTGGTCTTCTCTTTGGTCCAATGCTGTTACACACAATGCTGATGCAGGCTGGATTGAGGAAGAGAACAGAAACTTGCACAACATACCAACTATGCCCTGTGTTGAAATAAACGTACAAGACATTCCAGTTTTGTGTTAACAGAACACAAAACTAGAAGATACCTGGTAAAAAAAACATTCACAATTTCTGGTATAAAAATTTACACCACTGCACCAGGAACTAGCCAAACATCTAACACACATCATCATCAACCCACAAGACATGCCTAAGTTTCTTACTCAGGGCATCACCTACATGAAACCTAAAAACAACAAAACCACAGACCCCACACAGTACAGACCAATTACATGTCTTCCAACACACTACAAATTATTGACATCTTGTATCACAAACAAAATATACAAACATGTTGAAGAACACGACATTCTTACGGAACAACAAAAAGGTTGCCGTAGAAATCACAGAGGATGCAAAGAACAGTTACTCATAGATTCAGTCATACTACGGTAAGCACACAAACAACACAAAAATATACACATGGCATATATAGAATACAGAAAAGCATTAGACAGTGTTCCACACAGCTGGCTGCTACATATTCTACACATGTGCAAAATACATCCATCACTGATTGCATTCTTCCAAAACCCTATGCAGCACTGGAGAACAACACTGCATCTCAGGGTTAGTAACACTTCCATACAAACAAAGAAAATGTTCATTAGGCGAGGTATTTTTCAACGAGATTCTTTGAGTCCTTTCTGGTTCTGCCTAGCCCTGAACTCATTATCAAACATGTTAAACAACACACATGTTTACAATATCAGACATTAAAAAAAAACACAGTTTTTGCTGTCACATCTCATGTACATGGAAGACATAAAATTTTATGCATCCACACAAAAACAACTACAGCAGCTCCTACAAATCACACATTCATACACTAAGGACATACAAATGAAATTTAGCTTAGACAAATGCAAAACACTTTACGTAGAAAAAGGAATCCTGAAGAAAGAAGATTTTGCACTTGGAAATGGAGACGTTATTGAATCCATGGAAGAGGGCGAGTTCTAGAAGTATTTAGGATTTCAACAATCCAAACTAACAGAACATAGACAAATAAAGCAAAGATTAAGTAAAGAATACCAAAGTAGGTTAAACGCTATACTCAGAACACAGTTAAATGCAAAACACACAGTTAAAGCAATAAACATATATGTCATCCCAGTACTCACATACTCTTTTAGTGTTATACATAGGACTCACACAGATGTTGAGCAACTCCAAAGAAAAACAAGAACAACACTTACTAAGCATAAACAACATCATCCTACATTCGCTATAGAAAGATTAACACTTTCTCGTAAAGATGGCGGACGTGGCCTGATTGACATAGTTAACCTTTACTAAAAACAAAATAAGTCNATGACCTGATACAGTTTTTTCAAGTTTGAATAATTTACGAAAATAATTTATATATAATTTTTCAAATTTTTAAAAAAAAGTCAAAATCCCATATTGGGCTGGCGTAAAAAAGGAAGAGTTATAGCGTTAAAAATTTTTATGTGAAGTTTAAAGTCAGATATTTTTAACTTTAAGCATAAATATGTATTATTGTCGATAAGCGAGTTAATTTTTGCAGTAAGTACTTTAAAATGGTGTTGAAAAGCTCCATTCCAGCTAAATGTAATTCCCAGGTATTTTATGTCGCTGATGATTTCTAGAGATTTGCCATATAGATAAAAGTTTTTTCTTAATTAGATAATTTGATTTTTATTCCGAAAATAATTATTTTCGTTTTTGAAGCCTTAATCGATAAATGTAACGATAAGTATTTATTTATGCTATCGAGTTTATGTTGTAATGTTATGCGAGTTGGTGCTAATAGTACTAAATCGCCTGCGTATAAAATATAGTGAAAAATACGACCATTAATATATATTCCTTATTAAACAAATTATGTCATTTATTTAGAAATTAAAAATATACGGAGAAAGAGGTTCACCTTGAAGTATTCCACGTTTTGTAATTATTTCTGTACTAAGTAAGTTGCTATTTACAATATGTAGTTTATAAGAAGAAAATAGATGCATAATCGAATATGAAAAACTGTTACATGCACCATATTGTTTTAATTTATTAACCAGAATCAGGAACATGAACAGAGTCAAAAGCTTTGGTGATATCGATGAAGACAGAATAAATTTTCTTACGTTTTTTTGTAAATATATTTGAATAATTGAGGATAGCAACAAAATAAAAAATTCTGTACCCCTGGATTTGGTAAAAGCGTATTGAAATTCAGAGTTAAGATTCATTTCCTGGGTCCATCGCTGAAAACGGTTTACTAACATAGACGTGAAACATTTCCCTAATACCGGAAGAAGAGCAATCGATCTATAATTTTCCTGTTCCAAACGATGTTTTTTTTTGTAGATCATAATTAATTTCGTTGTATTCCAAATTTCTGGATATTTAGACGTTTTATAAAAGTTAAATGAGTCAAGCAAAATCTGTTTGCCCGATGGAGGCAAGGATTTGATAAATTTGGAAGTTATTAGGTCAATGCCAGGGGCAGATTTTAATTTCATTCTTCGGATTAAATCCTCAAGTTCGTCAAAAGTAAACGGCAAATCAAACAAATAATTATTCGGATTAACGCCTCAGCAGTGACCGACGAGTATAGCCATCAAGAGCGATCGTGTGGCAGTGAAGAACGACGACTATAGTCGCAAAAAAATTCATATGAAATATTTGGACCATTTCGTGAAGTCGTAGAATTTTTACGAGTAGTTGAATTCTCCAACTTTGTTTTGGAATATCTTTTAGTTCACGAGAAATTGCAATAAAAAAAAAGAGAAAATTAAAATAAATATGAAAATTTAGAGGACCATCTATCGATATAAACCGAATTTAAACTTCCTGCCATCATCCGATTAGTTAAAAAAATTAATATTCCTAATTGGCTCGCGTCAGAAAAAAGTAGGTGTGACTACTGTAAATCACGCTCTCTCCAGAGCTCTTATACAACTCGGAAAAGCCGACATTATACGTCATCAGTCTAACGATCCGTGTCTAACCTACTTTTTTTGAAATCAACATTAGAGTAAAACGTAGTAAGATGTAGTAATTTATGGTAAAACGGTTTTCTCTAATATTCGTAGTACTTTGTAAATTTTGAATTTCAATTTAATAAATACTATTTAGTTCGAAAACATTAAAAATACATTATTAAGTAGGAAAATAACATAAAACTTTATTTTTAGTATAATACAATTTACAATATCAAAAGTTCGTATATCGTAACATTACGAAAAAAACTATATCGAAACAAACAAAGTCAACTAATTTAT